GAGGCGGTCACCTGGTGGAGTCTGGAGACCCACTCCTAGACTTGTCACAGTGACCTCCAGGAACTGGTCTATGCTCTTGTGGATCTGTGCACAGTCCCTCCCCTCAAGGCTCCAGCCTCAGGTTCCACAGCCTTGCGTACCAGCACTGGGCTTTCCTCCCATCACACGTTTTTTCCAGGTCCTCCTGCAAACCTGTCTCCCCTGCCCTGGGGCTGCTCCTCCGGCCCCAGTGACTGACATCAGGGCTGACCCACAGCAGGGATGGTGTGGAAGTGGGCCCCTGGTTCCCTTTCTCCTGGGCTCCCCTGGGCCAGTGTCCTGTGCTCACTAGGATGAGGGGAGAAGTCCAGGGAAGGCTGGGCCTCAGGGTCGCTGCTGTTGCCCATCCCCTACCCCCCCACCCCCCAGATCTCCTGAGGGTCCGGCAGGAGGTAGCAGCTGCAGCTTTGAGGAGTCCCAGTGGCCTGGAAGTTCACCTGCCCTCATCCACAGCAGGTCAGCGCAGGAAGCAGGGCCTGGCTCAGCACCGGGAGAACACGGCTCCAGCTCCAGCTGTTGCCCCGTCCTTCTCAGAGAGGTACTGGGGCTTGGTATCTGACTTCTGCAGGCCCCATAGCCTGCACCTTCCACCCACTTACTACTCCCCGATTGCAGCTGCACAGTCATGTGGGTATTGCTTGCTTTGGGTTTAGGGTCTGTTGGGCAAAAAGTTCCTGAGGCCGGCTGAGCTGGGTAGAGGCCCATGAAAACATTTCCGGGGCAGTATGTACCTGGGTGCCAACAAACCTGGGCAGGAATGTGAAGGGTCACTCTTGTTTCTTTGTTGAGCAACTGGGAACCAACAAAATCCAGGTGCCCCTGGGACAGTGAGGGGGGGTGAGGTTGGGGGAGCAGAAGGCAGAGCGGCTGGAAGTCTGGAAACCCAGCCCAAAGTAAGTCGGGAGGGGTCGGCCAGAGGACTAGAACTGGGGGAGGAGGGAAGCCCGCTTCGCCAGGTCAGACACACTAGCGGTCTGGGGAGACGGCCTCCTGGGCGGGCGGGGACAGGGGGCGACCTGTAGAGAGCAGGGAGGC